CCTACTTGGCCTTGGCTTCTTAGTCTGGCCTGCCTGAAAAGGCAGGCACCCCAGAAGCCGGCCGCTCCCCATGACTCGTGCTGCCCCCTGCCAGTTGGGGGAGGAGCAGGCCCATCTGGAGTGAGGGTCCCACCTCCGTGGGTGGAGACCCTCCCTGTGGGGCAGCTGCTGTGCTGCCTGGTGGCCGGTGGGCCTCTGCCCGCCCTGCGGCTGGAGGGTTGCACTGGGAGGGATTCCTGCCAGGAAAGTGGAGGCCTTGCCTGCTCAAGAGGGGGCTTCCTGGGCACGTTGGCGGCTGGCTCGCCTTGCGCCGGGCTGTTTCTGTGTGCGGTTCTGGCAGCCGGGCAGCTTGCTTCTGGCCACCCATCGCTAAGTGGACTTCCTGCAGTTGTGAGCTAAGTTGGTCAAGCTGGGGGCAGAGCTGCCATCAGTTTCCCTTCCCTCCTGCCAAAAGAGGGGCTGGCTTGCCAGGAGGCGTGCCCGCGTTCCCCCTGATTCCGAGGGCCGCTGTCGACCTCTCCTGGTCTGATGCATGTTGGCAGCCCAAGTTTGGGGCCTGGTGGACTCGGTTGGGGCTCAGCCCCCCTCTGACTTGGGCTGGGGCTCCTTCCAGCCTCTCCCTCATGTGTGGTGGTGTGATTGCTCCAGCCCCGGTGCAGCCTTCCAGCTGGAGACGAGGAGCAGCGCAACTGCCCGCTGCTCCCCGGCCCAGACCTGCTTCTTCGGCAGAGCGACCGATCGGCTTGCTTCTTACACAGGCTGGAAGGTTCTCCCAGAGACGATTGGGGCCCTGGCTTTGCCTCCCCAGCGTGGGTTTGCCCATGCCCTGGAGGCCCCGGAAGACCGAGGCCATCCCGGTGGGTGACCCTCCTCCCCCTCCTCCTGTCTCTGCCAGGCGGCCGGCAATGCTGTCAAGAGGGCATCGGACAACCTGGTGAAGGCGGCGCAGAAGGCTGCCGCCTTCCAAGATGACGAGAACGAGACGGTCGTGGTGAAGGAGCGGATGGTTGGTGGGATTGCGCAGGTAGGGCCCTGAGAGGGGGGTGGAGCAGGGCCAAAAGGGGGGCTTCCCAGGGGCGAAGCACCCTCAAGGCAACTGGCTGCTTCCTTCTCTTCAGATCATCGCTGCCCAGGAAGAGATGCTGCGCAAAGAGCGGGAACTGGAGGAGGCACGCAAGAAGCTGGCCATGATCCGGCAGCAGCAATACAAGTTTCTCCCCTCCGAGTTGCGTGATGAAGGGCAGAACTGAGCTGCCCCACAGCCTTTCTGCCACCTGCCTCTATTTAATGCCAACCCCCAGCAAGGGCGGCCACCCTCATATCCAGGCCCCTGCGGGGGCCCCTGCCACTGGGACCACAGCTTCTCATGCACGAGCCCTGAAGCCTTCATGCCGTACTCTGGACCACCCTCCTGAGGTGGGGGCCCCCCTCCCAGGAGTTTTCCTTGTGCCTTGGCTGCTTGCTCAGCCTGAGTGCCTTGGGGGGCTGTAGTGCCCCTCATGGGGGAGCCCCCTTGGGGCTGTGCAATCTGTGGGGGCATGCGTTCCGCCCACCCCTCCCAGCCTCTGCATCTCTGCACATTTGCCTTAAGGGGGGTGCTGGACTTGTGGTGGTGGTCCGCCCGCAGCCCGTGGCTGGAGGCCTGGGTCTGCTCTCCCTCTTCTGACGCTGCTCTTCAATTCCCAAGTGCCTGCCAAGACCCCCGCAGCCCTTCCCAGCCACCAGCATCCCTTGGGCTCCCCCCACCCCCTGAACCTCCTCTGCGGCCTGTTCCCCAACAGCAGGAACTCCTCTTTCCCACACGAGCCCCCGAGTGCAACTGTGCTTGACTGCATTTTTGGGACCCTTCACAAGCTGAGGCTTCTCACCTCTTTGTAATTTTGATACATCAGTAAGCCAGGGAATCCAGGGATGGGAAGTGGGAAGGTGGAGGGAGGGGGTCTGCGTCCAAGCACCTCAGGATGTCTGGAAAGGTCTGGTCTGGAATAAACTGGTTTCCCTACTCTTCCACCTCTCTGTGCAACCGGGCCTCGGAGGGTCCTCGTGCCAGCTGACACAGCTCTAGGGCTTTGAGGGGCACGGGGCTCTTGGCAGCAGCCCCGGCCGGCTAGGGAGGGGTCTGAGCTGTGGGGCAGAATTCCTCGCTTGCCTCAACACTGCCCAGCCCTGGCTCTTGCCTCGCTCTAGAGAGAAGGGCATGCTCAAACAGCTCGCAGGATGAGGGAGCCCAAAGGCCATGGCATTGCTGGTGGCTGTGGCGTCCCTGACGTAGAGGATGGGTGCTCGTTCCTTGCCCGTGCCCGCTTGTCAGCCTCCCTGTGTTGGCTTCCAGGGCGATGGGCTTCTGCGGGTAGACCCCACGGCACACCCCAGCGACACCACACGGCCTTTTTGAGGAGGCCTGCTGGTGCAGGTGGCCCAAGTCCTCGGCTGCCCCACAAAGCGGCCGGCGTGGCTAGGCTGCGGCCTGCTGGAGCCTTGGCCCAGGCTCGGGTTTTTCATAACTCTCTCGCTGGCTGAGAGCAGAGGGTCCTTTTGGGGTGGCCCCAAAGAGCTCAGCCTCGCTTGGGCACCCCCCTCCCCAGTTGGACCTCAGCTGCCCGAGATTGCTGCCCTGAACTCCTGCGAGCTTGCCACCTTCCCTGCCAGGCCGCTGCCTCCTGTGGTTCCTCCCGGGCGTCTGGATGCAGTTCTGTCTGCAGTGCTCCCGGTGCGTTCCTACAATGGCCTGTCCCTGGCTATGGGTGCCCCGATCTCGCATGGCAAGAATGCCAGGCCTGGGCTGGGAGAGCCAGGGCTGGTGACAGGAGGGGGCCGCTGCCAAGCCCGCCTCAGAAGAGGGCCAAATGGGCCAAAGGAGGACCCAGAGCGTGGCCATGTGACCGTTCTCTGAGCAGGCCCTGGGTGGGGCCTGCCGGCTGCCAGCCCCTACCAGAGTGGGAAACGGTGGTGGTGATGAGACGCCCCAAGGCTCAGCGGCCACTGCCGCCTTCATAGGTGAGCCCCTCCCTGGGACTGGGAGCCATTTCTGTCCAGCTGGCTTGAGCTGCACCCAATGAGGAAGGGCAGATTCGGCAGCGGGCAGTGCTTCTCTCTGCGGGGCCTTCCCGGAGAGCAGAAGATGCAGCCTGGAGAGGCCTCCACAGCCGTCTTGCCAAAGAAGCAACTCCAGCCACCAAGTGGGCTTCCAGAGAGTGCTGCGGGCATGTCGAGGCCACAGTGGACTGTGGGGCTTGCGCTCCTGGGAGTGCAGGGGCCGTGGTTCTGGGGGTGTGCAAGTAATATTGCACTGCGTCCTGCCGGCCTGCAAAGCCCCGCGAGCCCAAGATCGGGACGGCAGAGCCAGTCCTCCCACTGGCCAAGGCTGCAGGTGAGCGCCTCCTGACCACCCAGGGGTCCTCCGCAGTTGGAGGGTGATGCTGAGCGGACTGTGCCGTCACTCTGCCCCCCTAAACAGGCGTGGTGGCTCTTTGTCAGCCCTGAAGGAGCTCCACTTCCAGTTCTGCTGGAACGAGGAGAGGGCATCCGGATTTCAGGCAACGTTCTGTGCTCTGCCACCCTCACCGCCTAACCACCCCCACTGTTGCTTCCCTGTTATCACAGCAACACCAAGCTGTGGGGCTACCCAGCATCCACCGAGTAGCTGAGCACCCTTAGCAGAGGTGGGCCTGGGCAAGAGGCCACGCTCTTGGCAAGCAGAGTTGCCCTAATCCCCAGCTGCCAGCCCAGAGCCAGAAATAGCCTCTGGGGCTGATCTGATGGACAAGCATCAAGGAAGGCACCCCCTTCCTGATCCACACCTGTTCCTGGCCCATCACGCCAGCGAGAATTAGCAAGCAGGCACCCAGGCCCCACAGCCTTTGGACTGCACGGAGGGAGGGATGCGCTGTGCCTCCCTGCACCTGCTGAATGAGCCGTTCATTGCCAGAGAAGCTGGGGCAAGGAGGCCATGTTTGCACAGCATGCCCATGCAAAGCTAAAATTAGCCAATCTTTTGTGTCCTAACCTAGAATCCTAGGGTTGGAAGGGACCTTGGAGGTCTTCTAGTCCAACCCCCTACCCAAAGCAGGAGTCCTCATACCATCTCGGACAAATGGTTGTCCAATCTTTTCTTGAAAACCTCCAGCAATGGAGCACCCGCAACTCCGTGAGGCCGGCTCTTCCGCTGCTTAATAGTTCTCACTCGGGAAATTCCTCCTTATTTCAAGGCTGGATCCCCCTTTGATGAGCTTTCACCCATTGCTTCTTGTCCTACCCTCTGGTGCTACGGAGAATAAATCGAGGCCCTCTTCCCTGTGGCAGCCCTTCAAGGATTGGAAGACTGCTATCATGTCTCCCCTCAGT